TCTATTATTTTGTATTACATAGTATTACATTGTACTTACTAGTTCTTCATAAAGTACTCGTTCTACTTTTATATTATTAATTATTTATTAGAAATACTTAATTAATACAAAGAGAATTAATATATATTGTTTTCTTTTTTTAATTTTATGTTAATCCGCTTGATGTATTAACTTATTGATAATAATTAATAAAAAAAAATTCTTCTCTGTAACTTTAAGGGGCAGAATGCTTAATTAAACATACTTGATATCAACCCTGTCAAACGTGATGTGGGGAAAGAATGAATTTTTTTTCTTCAACGGCGGCTCCATTAGATCGTGTGTGCACAAGGCGACGGCAATTTCTTCAGAATAATAACCCCCCGTTAACGAATAATCTCATTTTATTTTCAAGCAGCACGAGCTCTATCGTATTGTCGATAGTTTCATAAGCCGTCTGACGAATGTCACAATTTCCACAATGCACACGTCGCTGCATCATTTACAAAAATATCGGTACCGAGAAGCGACCTGGCATTGACGCGTAAGTGCGAAACAATTCGAAAGAATTTGATGGAAAGCGACCGTGGGCGCCTGATTTCCTGCGGCGAGTTCATTACGATCGCTCTGTCGAGGGTCTTGCTGTATACGACCAAACTATTTTCAAAAATAACACTAGTCGGATGATCGAAAACGTGTGGGGTGTGTGGGACCGCGTGAGGTGCGCCTGCGGAAAAGTTATAGAAAAGTTGCACGCGACACCTCAGTCGAGCAACGAGAGAATGAGTCAGTGGGTGAAGGGGGGGGGGGGGGGGGGGGGGGGAGCGGCGGTTAGAAGCGCCGCAATGTCATTATTGGCGCCTTTTTCACGAATATGTTGCAAGGTTATGAAATTTTTCAGCCACTGCCGATGTCACACTGATTCCCGAAAAGACGAAGTTACGTTAATGTTTAATAGTCATGAAAGGCGACGTTGAGATTTTTACAATTTGCGTGTTCTATTAATCTATCTATTAATTAACCGACGTCTTATTTCAAGATATTCAGACTATATTATTTGCAGCTGGTTGTTTAAAATACGATAATAAATCAAACTTAACTAATGATTAATAATGTTTAAATAAAAATGTAATTAATGTTAAGTTTTAGTTATTTAACAACCACTTGATTAAATTTCATTTCGGCTGGGTTATTTTGACTATTTTAAAATAATGGGTCTCAGGAATAAAGAGTTGCTGTTTTCTGTAGATCAAGTGTGATTGCATTTGCTGTAAGTCCAAGGATGAATATGTTTTTTGTTTCTTATGCCAATAAATGTAGTGGCTGAATCGATTTGATGTTTTATAAAATGTTGCTCGGTTTCAACAATTTTACCACCAAGAAAGTTGAAAACAATAATTTTATCGAATAATTTTTTATTATCACTTGGAAATTTGCATATCTCTTCTTTTTCACAATTACGTCATTATTTATTTATGTTTGAATAATATCGATGATAGATGATTTTAAGACTCTATTATATTTCTCTATAATATTATTATTATATTTATGTAAATAGTGAAATAACTGAATACTAACATAATTTACACTGCTATTAGATCATGTAATTAAAAAGCTATAATTACGCAATGAAGAAGTATAGAAGTCCTGTACATTTGTACTCTCATTCTTAACAGATCGATGGAGTTTAGCGCGAATGATTATTTTATATACATATTTCAATGATTAGGAGCTTGAAAAATAAATTAAAGCTTAAAACGAAAATCCATTATAAATTACAGTAGTATAAAAGAATAGCTTAAAGATATCATAAATGGAAGTCGAAATTTGTTAGAGTTTAGTCAATAAACAAACAAACAAAAAAAAAAAAAAAAAAAAAAAAAAAAAAAAAAAAAAAAAAAAAGAATAAACAAAAGTAAACGAAAAACAAAAATTTATAAACATTTGGATAGATTGCGCACAAGAAAATGTCATTAATTGATGCAAATGAGAAAGAAAGGGAAATATGATAAGAATAATTGAGTGTGAGGGGGGGGGGTATGATCGAGAAAGAGAAAACAGACAAAGTTTCAGCGCGTGTGTTAACGTAGAAAAGTTGCACCCGGCACACTTGCATCTGTCGGTGGTGGAAAGTAGAAAAGAGAAGGGAGAGAAGCGGAGGACGATGAGAAAGAAGAAGAGAGGAACCATAGAGAGGAAGACCAGGAGTATCGTGGATTGAGAAGTGCAAAGAAGATGAGGAGAAATCGAGAGTGAGCGAGTTTCTGGAGTCGTGCGTCGGGACGCCGAAAATAGCGCCGCGATATGATGACGCCCAGGCCGGTCGGATCCTAGATTTCAGTCACTTCGCAAACTCGAAAGGGACACGAGCTCTCCCTTCCTCTTTCACACATTTTCTCTGAAGCGTCGGCTCCGAGCTTACCCTTTCTTTCTTTATATATATATATATCTTTGTCTCTTTTTCTCACTCCCTCTCTATCTCTGTTCCTCTCTGAATTGGAAGCGAACGAAGCCGACGAGAACTTTTTGTACAAGACAGTGCGATCGGCAAGGTAAAGGCCAGACGAGCGATTCAACCGTAGTCAGCGGCCAAGGGACGAAGAAGAGATAAACACGCTAAAGTTATGGCGGACAGAGATGGTGTAGTGTACACGACCACGGAGCGCAAGACGCGCAAAGTGAAGAAGACGACGAAGCGCAGGGAGAGCCACGATCA